TAGTCTGGCCATTTTCGGTTCAGAATTGAATTCTAAAATAATTTGTTCTTTAGACGTCTGGTAGGACTCCTCGAACGGGGATTGCCTTATCGCAAGGCCTATACCTGCGTTAGAGAACGAAACAGAACGCTGAAGAACGCAAACATGTTACATCCATACTCTAAGTGTATTCGAGTGGCCCAACACCGTACGCACCTCAGACCTTGCTGCGCAGTGATAAGCCGTGATCACCGCTGGATTCTGAAAAATTATCTGCTGTGTTGATTTTATGATGCCGAATTATTATAAATTTACTAGTGCAGTGAAAGTAAAGTTATTTTTACCATGTAAGTATACGTAATGTGCCTTGTACTGCCTTCATACCAATTATCCAGAGGATCTATTCCACTTATTTTTCCGCTGCTGGTTGACTTGGGTGTCACTTTGGCTGTTATCAGAGTATGATTCTAGGTTAACGGTGGCGGACTACACATTTACGTATTTGCTACCCATCCTGTTTATTTGGTTTGTATATTCCGCTTAGCAATTTGCATTGTGTGGAATACAAATGCAGATGTAAGAAGCGTTTATTTGTATGTTAAATATGTCCATGCAAAAATTGGGAGAGAGGTTATTTTCAAGCCAACAATAGGTAACGATAGTCTACATGAACTTAATAATGACAGTGGTGTCAAACTTTGCTATGTCGAAAGATCTAATTGTAAAGAGTACAAAATTTCCATATCCTGATATTCATAAATACACTTGGACTTCTCCAGATGGCAGCACACACAATCATGTAGATAAGATGATAGAGTTGCGTCATATTGTTAAAATATATATTTAATTAATTAATCTTGTCCGTCTAATCACAATTTAATTTAAAATGTTTTAGTAGATAAGAGAAGGCAGACAAATGTAATTGATGTGAGATCATTCAGAGGAGCAGATTGTGACACTGATCATTATCTGGTGGTAGCAAAAGCGAGGGAGAGGCTTTCAGTAAGTAGACGAACAAAGCAAAATTTCGACACAGAAAGATTTAATTTGAAAAAAATAAGTGAGGGAGAGGCGAAGGAACAATATCAAGTTGAAATTTCGAATAGGTTTCAAATTTTAGAAACGGATGAAGATAATGAAAGTGTGGACATCAACAGGGAGTGGGAGAATGTCAGAAACTGCATCAAAATTTCAGCCAAAGAGAAACTAGGAGAAAGCAAAATAACCCGTGGTTTGATTAAGAATGTTCAGAATTAATAGATCGAAGGAAACAAACAAAATTTCAGTGGTTGCAGGACCAAAACAAAACAAATGCGGATAATCTATGTAACGTGAGACGTGAGGCTAGTAGAACCTTTAGGACTAAGAAAAGGGAATACCTGAAGAGCAAAATTGCTGAACTTGAGACAAATAATAAGGAAAAAAATATCAGAGACCTATACAGAGGCATAGATGATTTTTAGAAACGATATCAACCTCAGACGACAAAATTTAGCTCGATGCTGTGTGAAGATTTCTTCTTGAGCCCCCAGTACTTCGACTGTCACACTATGTATTTTCTACTTGCTCTTCAATTTTTCATTCTTTGGTGTTGTAGTCTGTTGGACTTTGGACAGAATGTTAGCTTGGTCATATGCACCAACTCCTATCCACGTTGTGCAATTTTGGAGAATGATTACCTACCTTATCTATATGTGTTGTCCCGCTTAGCTTATATACCATGACTTTCACTTCTGCTATGTCGATTGGGCTCAGCAGAGTAGGTTTTGCCTGACGACGGAGATTGACTGCAATCTCCGAAACGTCGTATTTATTGCTTATGTTCAATCTGGGACGATGGATAATGTCCAGAAAATAGTTTGCTTCAACACAGACTAATTTGGTAAAGGATACTGGAAACTTACTGGCAGATTTAATCAAAATTTTGAATAGGTGGAAAAATTTCTTTTCCAGCTCTTAAATGTTCATTGGACTGATGATGTTAGACAGAGTAAAATACATACTACTGAACTGCTAGTGCCAGAACCTAATTTAGATGAAGTTGAACTTGAACTTGCCAATGAATCTTCTACATTCGTCAGATACTAGAGAAAAAATGGGAGTTCCATGGGACCGTACATCAATTATGTATAGATTTCAAAAAAGCCTACGACTCTGTTAAGAGACAAGTGTTGTTCAATATTCTCATTGATTTGGTATACCAAAGAACTAATGAGTCTAATAAAAATGTGCTTAAATGAAACCTTTAGCAAAATTTGTATAGGACTTATATTCGATCAAGAACGGCCTGTAACTAGGAGATGCTTTGTCTCCCTTGCTCTTTAACTTTGCGCTAGAATATGCTATCAGGAAGGTCCAAGATAGGCAGGAGGGTTTGCAATTGAATGGGACACATCAGCTATTGGCATATGCTGATAATGTTAATTTATTGGGTGACGATATAAATACATTAAAGAGGAACACAGAAGTTTGCTAGAAGCTAATAATAGAATGGTGGGGCCAGAAATTAATTCAGAAAATCTAAGAACATGTTAGTATCTCGTCAGAAGACAGACGGGCAAAACCATATTACGGTGGCTAATAAATCCTTTGAAAGTGTTACAAAGTTAAAATATTTGGGAACAGCAATAACAAATCAAAATTATATTCATAAGGAAATTAGGAGGAGAATCGACTTTGGAAATCCTTGCTATTTTTCAGTTCAAAATGTTTTGTCTTCCCGTCTGATTTCTAAGAACCTAAAGATTAAAGTGTACAAAACAATAATTTTGCCCGTTGTTTTGTATGAGTGTGAAACAAGGTCTCGCTCTCTGAGGGAGGAACACAGTTTGCAGGTGTTTGAGAATAGGGTGCTGAGGATATTTGGGCCTAGGAGAGAAGAGGATGGGGTATGGAGAAAACTGCATAATGATGAGTTCACAAATTTGTACTCCTCCCCCAATAAAAATTCGACGAGCGTTGCATGTCGCACGCATGGATGGGGCGAGAGGTGTGCACTGGGTATTGGTCGGGGAGCCTGAAGGCAGGAGAACGCTGGGGAGACCTAGACGTAGAAGGGAGGATAATGTCAAGCGGAATCTATGGGAGATAGGAGATGAAGGAGACTGGATTTTGCTGGCCCAGGACGGGGTTCGGTGGAGGGCTTTGGTTAATTCGGTGATGAACGTTCGGGTTTCCTAAGCCATCTAGTTAGTTAGTTAAATATGTCTAGTTAAGAATGCATTCTCGTGGACTGGTCTGTGTATTGAAGATGGCTGACTTCTGGGATGTTGCGCCTTGTAGTCCGGAAGAAGTTTACCAATATTTCAGAGGTGACTTTATCAGACTTCGCGGCGCAGCATCCCAGAATAGTCATATTCGTAATTGTTTTAATAAGTTAGCAACAGAATAATTTTTCTGTCAGCCATCTCTTCAGCCATTTTCTTTTAAAGTTTTTTCTTTTTCAGGTATTCAATCAAAGCAACTCGAATTGATACCAAAACTGGTATAAGTCAATTAATTACTGGCATTCTTCTCTCAATTACTTCCTATTGTTTAGAGCCATGTGAAATTGCAATTGGCTGGTTGTGCTACATATAACGCCACCTGGTATCGGAGTATATTGGGCCCTTTACAGTAGCGCGGATCATGTGTTATTCTCATCCAGTTCGACCCTTTCGCCCGAACTTGTGATCACAGCCGTTTCCCTCGTTTTGTGCTCAGAGAGAAGAAGTAGCACGGTCGAGTGAATACCGTTTATTACAGTGTGCGTGCGTGCCTACCTCATGTTTGCAGCAGCAATTTTTAAACCGCAGCCTTTCTTATTGTTTCCTGAGAAGGAAACGTCGTTGACTTATTCGGTTTCATTTAAATATCCGATGTGGAGTTTTCTAAGGAATGCAAAGTCGAGATGTTAGATTTTTAAATTAATCGACACCATGGAGTATAGATCTTACAGAGAAGCTATTAGTTGCACAGATATTCAAATTTCACTTCTTTTATGGATCCACATACTTCATTATTGTGTTTACAAGATCCTGCTATGGTCCCTGTCCTGAGCCAGATGAATCCAGTCAACACCTTTCCACCCTATTTCTTTCAAACCCACTTCTACGAGGGTCGCTCATTAAGTAATGCCCCACATTTTTTTCCTCAGAATATATTTATTCAAGATGGCTGAAATTTAGTGACAATATAAATCAATGTTTCCTTTACACAT